GCTGTTCAAAGTCTCAAACATCACGTGCATCCAAACTGTTTCTTTTTCAACAATTTTACTCAATTAAGCAAAAAAGAAAACCAAAAAATAAAACTTTTATTTGAAAACAAAAATAAATCTGCAATATGACAAATATTTATTGCACCCATTCATACTTCAATGTGTGGCATCGTTTCATAGAAATCCCTATGAATAAGATTCAAGAAATCTTTGTTTTTCTTCTATGCTGTATGCTGTGTGTTTACATCTTTGCGACACGTGAGAAAATAAAAATCTCAAAAAATGTTTAACCTAAATTATAAATGATTCAGTTTTGAGAGGTTAATTATATGTTTTCATAGAAGGACAGGAGGTAAACATAAAAAAGGTTTGAAGATTCTAAATTGCCTGGTTTTGAAATTAAACAATATAATAAGGAAGAATTAATGATTTGAGCATTCCAGAGGCTTAGTGATGACTTTTTGGTCATTTTCATTTTGGGGGGAGCACGATAATCCCTGTTTAGAATTTATTCAAATTGAACCCTAATGTTACATGCCCTAGTTTCACCCCCTTTTTAGCTACGCCACTGCCACATCATTATAAACAAAATTTAAGCTAAATACGTGACCGCGTTTCTTCCAGCAAAGAATTTGTGTTGAAAATCAAACAAAATAAAAACAATTTGAATATCAATTCACACATCAAAGAACTATTTTGCTTAAGCAACAATATTTTCGCCACAAAAGCCACTGATGACTAATAATTGCTGAGGCGACGACAGTCGTCGACTTAAAAAAAATGTCCAAAGCATAATTCGATACATTTGTTTTTATAATTTCTTAATATGAACATCTGGAATTTGAATTTAAATGTTATTCCAAATGTCGCCGTTAGTTCTCATTTTATTATCACAAAAAAATATTATATGTGTTACATATAGCTATGGTCTCATTGTTTGGGATTAAAATATGGATATAAAATGTTACAAACGAGGCGCTTTAAATGTTAACAACTGTCAAGAATAATTTTTTCATTAATTTGTCTTATTTTTCGATTTAATTTAATCAGTTTTTATTGGAGACAGTTTTATTGGGCATTGAATTTTCCTCGGCTGCGACAATATCAGCTGGTTTGATTAATGTTGTTGGTGTATTGACATATGATGTGTGTCGTGGAGTTCTTTGAACTTAATGTCAATTGGTGAAGTTAAAATAATTTTAACACAAACGAACTTTCAAAATTTCAATTTTGTTGTGAAAAAATGTTCTCACCTGAAGACTTTGAAATGTAATTATAAGCTCAATTTACTGTTTAATAGGATCTTAAATGTCTTAAACTATTATTTAGACGTGAGCAAACCGATTTTTTGCCATTTCATGAACTACTTTAGTCAAAATATCTATAAAACAGTGATTTCTTTAATTTCACATGTACTTTACCGCCAAAAATTAAATGTGTTTAATTTGACCGACTATCAACCGGATCAAGTCTCCATGACAACTCGTGTCTCGAAAAACAGCAAATTTTAATTCAATAAACTGTCAACAAGAGTCACACGAGAGGAAAAAACACGATACAATCCTCCTAATTAAATACAATTAAGGTGACTTAGCCTCTGATATATCAAATGTGATATTGAAAGGTTCAGTGACGCATTACAAGTGAATAAACATTAATATTTCTCAATGATACTATATTGTCTCATTTCATACTTTTTCTAGATTCTTTAAATTGTGTCAGTTTGCGACGATTATCGTATGTGGAAAGGAAGTGGAAGCAAATATTTAACGAAAATAACTTCTACGCAAAAAGTGAGAGATTGTGATAAAGAACTTTCATTCATACTTACTATCTAAACATTGACATTGGTTTCAATTAGCTCGTCAGCAGCAAGTTTTGCAAATTACATTCTACGAAAATTAGTTCTGTTCTTTTTCTTCTTATTCTTCGGCATTTTTGAGTTGACAAAAATAAGAGCTTTGAAGTAATAAAAAAAAATATTGAGAGAATCATATTCAGTACAAAGTCATCTGTCTACAGAGATGGATGTGTTCTAAACTCGTTCAAGGTTTAACGGAAACAAATATAAAAAGGTTTGAAATTATCAAGCTCTTGACCTCTTTTGATAAATGCAAATTAGATTGAAATTAATGGATTTATAGACACATAATGTGACACGTTCACATGTTATTGAGATAGTGGCACGAGTTGATAATTAAAAAAAGCCAACGGATTTTTGGTTTTTGAATTTTTTGGTGACAAAATGGTGGAAGAGATTTTTCTTCACCTCAAGAAGTTTTTTGAGTTTTTAAGACATTTAAAGTGAACATTTGAAAGTTATAAGAATAAACACTTGAATAAAAAAATGGCAAAAGAGTCATAAAATATCCCACAATTTTAAAGAATAATGTGCTTACAAGTTATGAATGATTGATTAATAAGACAGTTGAAAAATGAACCTTTTCTCACTTTATCTAAATTATGGCTTGAAAAATCACGTTTTAATGAGGTAGCGGTCATTTGAGATTTGTTAATGTTATATGTAGACTAATGAACTCATTGTTTTAATGCAATTGTTCTAGATGTTTTACACAATCACATTGTTATGATAAAATTATAATTATTACAAAAGACTAGAAATTAAATGTAATTTTATTTGAAACTTGTATGTCGTGTACGATAAACAGCATTACATGACAAAAAAAAATTCACATGAATGCGAGGGAAAATTTCTAGCTAAGGCTTGTTATCAATCTTTTTTTCTGTAACGACTAGAATTCTATTTACTTTACATGTTTGAAGAATCAGTTAGAAAGACGATTGAGGAATAAATATTGAAAAAATCTGTTTGTCGAAACTTTTCTTGTGTACTTTTCTGTAGCAGAAGTTTGCCAATATTCTTCCTTTATCTGGATTTATAGGACGTAGTCTGTCATTCTGGATGACAGTCTATGAGCTCATCAGTTTAGTAGTTCTCCAGCTCTTGGGTACATGAGTTTATCACTTCGTCAGTATTTCAGACAGTCTGTTTGTATGTCTGGCTGGCTGGTAGTCACCAAATATACTGGTAGTAGCCAAATCTTATCAATTTCAATTTAATTTCGAAAAATGAGATAGTAACACAAGGATCTAGACTCTGAGCTCCAAAAATGCGCAATAGAACTGAATGTTCTCAGCAGTGTTGCATTCTGGCTATTTGTCTGGATCAGATAAATTCTGAGACAGAAATTTCTTCATAAAATCGATTCTACATGTAGAAAGAAAAAAACCATCTACATGTAGATGGTTTTTTTCTTTCTACATGTAGAATCGATCTTTATGAAGAAAGTTTCTTAGCTAGACAAAAACTATTGAAGAATCTACATTCTTCATCTAGTGTAGACATCTACATTTGCAACACTGGTTCTCAGGAAGTCTCCATTTCCAGTTCACATATTGAAAGTTAAATCATTTAAGTTTACACAATGGATAAGAAGGAAAAAGAAGAAGTTTTTTAACTCAATATTTAACAAACATCTGAAGAGAAATATCGAATTTCAGTTCATGATTTTGACGCAGCTGGTTGACGAGTGAAAATAAAAATTCTGTGACTAGATCAGCATAGAATTCTCTTTTCTTCATTCATGACCTACAACGTGACTGCTCGTGTACAATAAAATAAAAATTGCGAAAATCGTAAAAAAATTAACGAAATATTTGATATTCGACATAAAAAATGATCGTTTTTATTTTGTCGGCGACACTAAATACTTTGTATTCATGCCCTCACATAAACAGGAAATATATGGTAGATGCTTCATACATGTATGTTATCATTGAAAGTTAAAGATAAGAGAGGCGTCGAACGTTTATTATTATTACATATTATAATCAGTTGCTAAATGATTGTCATAAATGTAGGCATCAACACTCATTATCATAAGTGCATCCTGTTCCATCTTGCAAACAAATATCCACAAACACACACACACACACAAATTTCATTCATTTAAATGGAAAGAAAACAGAAAGGAAAGAAAGGAAAAAATGAATATTCTTTTCGGGTACCTGCGTTGAATTTTTAAGTACTTTTCCAAATGCAAGTAATAAAAGTTGTTGGGTGAATTTGATGACTAGAGCGCATTTTTTGTTAAATCGCTAGCCACTTAAAAACTACAACTTCAACCTTCTTGCCACTATTTGATGCCTTTCTCAATGAATGACATTGCTAGTTATTGACATTAGAAGTACACTTGCACCCAAAAATAAGGTATAAACACAATAGAGCTTGAATTCAAACTTTATTGGCTGTCTTCCTTAAGAACCGGCATCTTGCCACTTAAATGTACAATCTTCAAAAAAAGTCAATTCCTCAAAAAACCATCAATCACTCAATTCTATATCCAAAAACACTTTTAGACCCTCTTAATTCCATAAAACAATATACAAGTCAGTCTGTCTATACCAAGATAATCCATAATCCAATTAGTTCCTTACTCTTCCTTGAAAAAATGTGCTCAAAATATGTTGGCGCATTCATGAAAAATTTACATGCCGAGAGAATCCTTGAATGGTTTAACACGTTCGAGAGTTCCAAAGTCATAAATTCTCTTGTTCTGTTGTCGTAGTTAAGAGGAAAAAATATAAAAATAATTCTCAAAAAATTTCCCTTGAAGAACTGTAGCCGTAAAATAAAAGAAACAAAAAAAATTATTTTGTTTGCTGACTCAATCAAAAACACACGAGAGTCGGGCAAATGAAATGTTGCAGCATAAAATTTCCTCTGTTGTTGTTGTCCTTCTCTCTCGAATTGAGAATGTTGCAGTCGATTGCACTTTTATTTCTAAGAAATTTTGCGCATGTGCATTGGAAAACATGCTTGCAGTGCACTAAAAAATTTTTACTATCGGCCTTAATGGCCATGATAAAGTTTGCTCATAGAACCATAGATTTAGTTGTAGATTCATGTGAGACATCAGCAAAAATTTTCACTTACTAATTAGTTCTAACGTTATTCTTTTCTTTTGTACTTCTTTCAGGGCTTAGAAACTTATCAGCAATCTCCAGTAAAATTAAGACCGAAGGAGCAACTTTCGGTGCCAAAAACAGAACGAATAAATTCATACAGATTCTCAATGGCGAATCTAGAAGAGACACAAGAGTCAGAACTCGACTCAATACTCACCGAATTGAGTATGTTGGAACAGAAAGGTGATTTAAGACAGAGTCGAGTACAAACACATAGCCGATCGAGTTCTATAGTGTCATCAGGTGTCAATTCAACCATCTCGACAAGTACGACAGCAACTATTACGTCAACAGAACGTACCGATAGTCCTGACAATGATTCAGCATTCAGTGATACAGTATCACTGTTATCAAGTGAATCATCAGCATCGAGTGGACTTAGTTCATTGCATAATAATAATAATATTGTTAGTAAAATTATTCCATCATCTCAAAATAATCTTGTTCAAGTAAGTTCTAAATTTTTTTTTATTGGTAGCAATTCCAGATCTTCTTTTATTTTATATCTAACATCTTGACCTATTTTTTCCGTTATGCAGGATTCAAAATCTTCAAAGATTCAACTCGCCCTACAGAAATTAGAACATGCATCAGTGAGGAGGCTGTTTGTCAAAGCATTCACAGAGGATGGCTCATCAAAGTCATTGTTGGTCGATGAGAGGATGAATTGTGGCTTTGTGACAAAATTATTAGCCGGTATGTCAAAGCATTCATCTCTTCTTTTTTTATTCATTTATGACATAATTCCCATTATTATATTTTGCAGATAAAAATCATGTCAGTATGGAAGTCTCATGGGGATTGATAGAGTATTTGCCAGAGCTTTTTATTGAACGCCTTTTTGAAGATCATGAACAATTAGTTGAAAATTTATTAATGTGGAGTAGCGATAGTAAAAATCGTGTTTTGTTTATCAAACGTAATGACAGAGTGTCCTTATTTAATACACCCGAGTTATATTTACCGTCATTTGAAATGGCACCGGGTACGGAGCATGATGAAGAATCAAGGTGAGCATTTTTAAAGATTTATGGATGCAGCTCAGCCCACAATATCCAAAAATAGTCAATCCTAGTACATTAGTATATACTTTACTAGTTTCCTGGGTGTATACTATTTTAGTACATAACATATACTATTTTAGTACATATCAAATACTATTTTAGTACATATCAAATACCATTTTAGTAAATAACGTATACTATTTTAGTACATAACATTTACTATTAGAGTATAAACTACCGTAATATAACCTGACCCTATGCCCGCTCTATATATCTCTATTCCCAATAAAATCTAATAATTTCTCGATTTTCCTTCCATTTTAGAAATTTATTACTCGAAGAGTTTTTTACAAATAATAATCAAATATCACTCGAAGGTCCATTATATTTGAAAAGTGAATCAAAGAAAGGCTGGAAACGATATCATTTTGTTCTTAGAGCATCTGGATTATATTATTATCCAAAAGAGAAGGAAAAGTCAAAATCATCAAAAGATTTAATGTGCTTGGCACTATTTAATGCACATAATGTATACAAAGGAATTGGATGGAAGAAGAAGTATAAGGCACCGTCAGATTTTGGATTTGCATTGAAATGTCCCAAGGTCAATATAACTGGTAAAGGAATGAAGATGCTATGTGCTGAGGACTCAGAGACACTTGAAAAGTGGATCATGTGCTGTCGTATTGCAAAGTATGGAAAGAAATTATTTGATAATTATAAGAATTTAGTCGATGACTTAGCACGTGAGGACTTGGATAAAATAGCATCAACACGACTCTCATTTACACCAATAACAACACAGTTAAGTACTGATAAGCTTAGTGTCGGAAGTCAGAATGGACGTTTATCACGTGCTAGTACAAGTTCAAGTTCCAGCGGTTGTTTATCTGATGATAATAATGGATTCGAGGCAGAATTCACAACCGGAACTATAAAAAGAAAACCAACAATGAAACCAAATCTTCCATTAACGTCCAAAACACGTCAACTGATAAAGGAAGTTGATGATACTCCAGCATCACGTAGTGATGATACAATTGATCAAAATGGGACATTAACACGTCGTCATACACACAATAATAATGGAACATTAAAGAGACAGAATTCAAATCGATGCTCATTTGATAGCATCAAGTCCGTACCATCACCAGTTACACCTGATGAAGTGTCATATAAGCCTTTGATCAAATCACTTGACACAATTGACTCAGTATCAAAATTATCATCCTGTATGACAGACTCAATGATGTCCCTTCCACCACCACCACCAGAAAGTGCAGTAGAATGCATCATGACTGCATCGACATTGTCATTAAACTCATTACCATTACCAGAACCGCCAGATGAAGATACTCTTAAACAAATAACACGAGAATCGTTGATTGAATCGACTATTGAGGAATCTCTAGTAATGACTGAAATGAATAGCAATCCGAATGTGTCAGTTCCAATGCAACCACAACCAACATATATAGCCCCAACGATTGCTCCACCAACAATAGTACAGCACCAAAAAATGCCTGAAGTTGAACCAATTTATAAGACTATTTTAAAAGCACCGCCATATAAATCACCACCACCCGTACATAATTCAAAATATAGCACACCTCCGCCAATACCACAAAAGTCTGTATCATTTGCCGACTCACCACCTCCCGTAATTTTGAGAAAGAAAGTCTGCTTCGACGATGAAATCGAACGAATTCCATTATCGCCAAGAATTGAGCGACCACCACCACCAATTCGTGATCGAGCAACTCATCTCTCGTCATCAAATAATTCATCACCAAAACGCCTTTGTGACTCAGTATGTAATCCAACTCAAGACTTTTGGAATGATTTACAACGTGTAGTGAATAAGAAGTTGAGTGTTGCACAAAAGTGTAAAATGGATCTTCAAATGACACCCGGTGAAGTTTTGGGTTTTCGTGATGCCGATCCAATCTATGAGACAAATTTAAATTACCGTGAAACGTCCACGACAAACTGGGTGATTGAACATTATGGAGATAATCTTTATGAGAATTGGAATGGCAATAATAATAATAATAATAATAGTAATGATAATAGATGTAGTAATAGTAGTAGTCCAAATGGAACATTGCAGAATCCAGTCGTGATTTATCGTGACACGAAACAAAATCTTCCATTAAGTCCACAAAGAAGATCTCGCGGACCACCAGTTCCAGTTCGTAATTCATCGACTCGACTTAGTGCTACAGCTAATGGTAATGCGACAGATATGCAATAATTAAATTTTCATATTATGAAAGTTTTATTAAATAAATCTATAAGAAAAAATTTAAGAATTGGACTGGATATACTAATATAATAATTATATTATTATAAAAATCATAAATTTATTACTAAATAATAATTATTAATATTTGATGAAGAAAAGAAAAATGAAAAATAATTTTTTGCCAAAGAAATTGAATTTTTTTAGATAAAAAAAAGTGAATAAATCCTCTATCGTTATTGAGATGAAGTGACTAAATGCCACTCGATGACATTATTGAATCATTAAGCGATAATAAATAAAGGAAAAATTGTGATTTTTATGAATGTAAACTATGAGTCGTGGTGGATTTGTTTTCTGTGGGATTGAGGATGAAAACAGGTTTTTCGATTCAGGCGGCTTCACAATAGATCCAAGTTGTAAAGGTGTCTTCACACTAATTCCAAGTTTTTAATGTGTCATTACACTAGTTTCTAGTTTTAAGATGACTTCACAATAGTTTCTAGTTGTCAAGGTGTCTTTACACTAGTTTCTAGTTGTGAAGGTGTCTTCACACTAGTTTCTAGTTGTCAAGGTGACTTTACACTAGTTTCTAGTTGTCAAGGTGTCTTCACACTAGGTTTAACTTGTGAAGATGTGTTTACACTAGCTTTAACTTGTGAAGGTGCCTCTACAGTATGAAGAGCTATCTTAAAAAATGTGTCTTCACATTACATTCAATTTGCAATGAAGTCGCCAGCCCCACAGAAGCTTCATCCACCCATAAATAACCCCTAACAACTCGAATCTTACAATAATAATCTATAACACTTGATATATGATACATAACTCATTACATTAATATTATTATGTGTCAAAACATCATTCATTAGAAATTATTAATTTCATGTGATGTATAAAAAATACTTTTTTCCTCTTTTATCTCTTCTAATCTATTTTTAAATTCTGTTAAGTGAAGATATGAAGATGGAAAGGATGAACAAAAAAAAAATCGATTTTAAGACAATTTCTGGAGAAAGTTTAGAAATGCACTTATTAAGAAATATAAAAAAAATTCTATCTTAATTATGATTACGCGCATAATCTAGACGAAAGATGCTTTTATGTCTGTATAGGCTCAATTCTATTGAGATTTTAGTTTTATGTATTCAAGTTTCATTTTTATTGTGTAAATGTCTACACCACAAACTTTATACACTCTCTTGAGCAAATATTAGATGATCATCATTTTAATTCCTCTCATGTAAAATAATATGGAAGGAAATTAACATACAAAAAAATAAAGGCTCATTATAGTTTAATTAATGGCCTTACACAATGCTTTTTAAGAGAAATGATGGAATGAGAAAACTTTTTTGTAAAATATACACTTATTATTATTTTATTATTATTATAATTATAGATATATTAGAATAAATGTAAGCTTTTACAAGATGCAGCAAAATTAAGGACTTTTTCTTTTTAAACTGTTTCAGGAACTTAGTTTTCAAGTCTCTTAGGAATATTGACAATAGATAAATAATAAACACGTGAAGCTACAAAATATTACAAAAATCATTATTTTAAACTTTGATTCCACAGATTTAAAATGATGTGATGAATGCTTGCCATGTTTTTCTATCAGTTAAACTGTTTAAATCAAAGCTTGAGCCTTAGTTGACCTTAAAATTTCGTAAATAACATTTCAAGTGAACGATGAAAAAATGGCGGGAAATTATTCCAAAAAAGTTTGAAAATTTTACTCAACGATTTTAAAGAAACAAACCAAAACAATAAACTCTAAACTTTCGTAATCTCAAGTTCATCGGCACACCTACAAATTTTATTAATTATTTTATCAACATTCTTTGCTGCATAACATCAAGATAAGAGTTAGTATTTTGATTGAAACGTGAATCCTCCTAACCCATTAGGGAATACAATGATGCATTACTCATTCGGTTATCAGCCAGAAGATTAATTCCTTTCCCTTTCGTTGTTTATTTATGATTCAAAAAGACTGCGTACATGATAAGCTACTCGTGGAATGAAAATGATAATTTTGTGATAAAATAAATGAAGGAATAAAGTTTTTGGAACTTGTACATTAGTTTAGTGGATGAACAGCATTTGAATTTTAGGATATTTAATGTTAAGCTATTGCATGATGTACTCAGCTGTTATGTTCCACATCTGGACCATTCTTACCATTTAAGCAAGTCAATATCCAAACCTTCCAAATCCATCAATCGCCAACTCTGTTTTAAGCTGTTAAACTCTTTAAGCCAAAACAAACATGACTAATAAAACTATTTATGTACATCGCGCAGCTGGAAAGTAAGATCCACAAATAATTACATTTACGTCAGCAAACTGCAATGGAATTATTAAGTAATAGGATTAAAGTCGTGATTTACCAGACCGAAATGTGCTAGAAGTTCATATCAAATCGTAAAAATTCTTGATAACGATTAGAAAATTGATTATTGATAAAGAAAATTTAACGCATAGCGAATATTTTAGTTGTTCTTTGCACGTTGAATCCGTCACATAGAAGTTTTGCCAAAAATTAAATTTATTTAATCAGCATGTGGCTGTATTATATAATTTCTGCAGTTGTTGCAGGCGTGATTTACTACATAACATTTGTGCCTTTACATTATAAAAGTGTAAGTTAAGTTTTTTGGTCACTTGATGACTAATTTTAACTTGTTTTGGATATAAACATTAAAGGTGGATTCAGGCAACAAAAAATCAGCAATAAATCAAGCAAGACGACTAAGAAAACCAGGCACAAACATCCCACCCCCGTATCCAAATGGATGGTTTGCACTTGCAACTTCAGATGAGATCAAGCCAGGAACAGCAAAAAGTATTGACTGCCTTGGAGAAAATTTTGTAGTTTTCAGATCTGCAGTGACCAAACAAGTCTATGTCCTAGATGCTTACTGTCCACATATGGGAGCAAATATAGGTATAGGAGGTGTTGTGAATGGTGAATGCATTAAATGTCCATTTCATCATTGGAACTTCGATGGCAAAGATGGATCATTAGTTGATATCCCATATAGTGATGATCTTAAAAGCGGTAAGTTGGGTTTACAATGAAGTTTTGATAACTTAGTTCTCAAAAGTTATTTTCGGCACGTTTACGATTTGATTTCTGTTGACTGACAGCTTATAAAGTTTAGAGTGCGTATGTACTTTATCAGTGAATTAATATGTGATCGTTTTTCAGTTCAAAAGTTTTCAAGAATCAAGAAATGGACATGCAGAGAGGTCAATAAGCTGATTTTTCTCTGGTATCATGCAGAAAATGAGGAACCGTGGGAAATTCCATCAATTTTTGAAGTAGAAAATAATGAACTTTGGATGCATGGAACTAATGAGTTTATGATACATTCGCATATTCAAGACATTCCTGAAAATGGAGCAGATTTGGGTATGCAAAAAAATATTTGAATTTTAACGGTCAAAAAATATTTGAAAGTTTAAATCTTTTAGCTCACTTAGCTGCTGTCCACGGTCCAAGTTTGTTTGCCGGCACAGACATCAACTCATTCCGAGAAAAGATTTTATCAGTAGGAACACATCTCTGGGATGCAAAGTAAGTCGTCACTTTTAAGTCTTTCCGATAAGATAAGTCTTATGCTTGACATATATAATTTCAGATGGTCTGTGAGTGAAAATTTAAAGCACATGACTAATATCAAGCTTAGTCATATCATCCAAGTTTGGTTGTGGAAATTCTTTCAAGTGGATGGTGATATCTATCAGATAGGGCCAGGCTATGTGGTACTCAAACTCAAAGCATTTTTTGGCGATGTTTTGGTGCTTCAAACAGTTACTCCAATCGAGCCACTCAAGCAGAAACTTTCACATTACTTTTATGCTTCAAAGTTCTTGGGATTTATCATGAAATTTGTAATTTTTGGCGAGACAGTTCAAGTAGCTAGAGATGCCATGATTTGGGATTATAAGACGTTCGTAAGAAATCCAATCCTTCCAAAAGAAGAGAAGCAAATTAAGTTGTATAGGAATTGGTTCTCACAATTTTATTCATCAAACAGCAAAAGTTTTCAAGACTCAAGAAATGACTTGACTTGGTAGACTTTTAAGGAACTTAACTTTATTTATTTTAACTTATATGGAATCGAAAATAAAAATTATTTATAATTATTGAAATTCTTAAGATTTGGATCAAATGTTGTGTCTTTATGTATCTGAATGTCAACCTCTTGATTTCTCTCCCAATTCAATTTTGCTTCTTCTTGCCAAAAAGCTTTCGAAATATTCAAGTCTGGAGCTTTTTCAAAAAGCTGAATGTTGAAGCTTTTTAGCATTTCATTTATAAGCTTTTAGTAAGCTTAACACAGCTTTTAGCGAGCAGAAACCTTAAAATTAAGTTTATCACGAGCATTTAATATTCCAGCCTGAATATCATAATCTAATTCTCTGTACGCCATTGATTTGTCATGTAGTTCTAAGTTGAACTTACTAAGAATAAGCACAATGCCTAATTTTGCCTGAAGCTTGCCCATTCGTGCTCCAATGCAGTTTCTGTGGAAGAAAGAGAATAGGCTTTTTTAATTCATATGCTTAATCTCAGAACCGATGCCTAAACAGAACATGCTAATGCCTTAAAACGTTTGCAATCAATTGACAGTCACTAAATCAAATCAAATTGAGTTTCGGACAACATCGAATTTTAAATTACATTTTAATCGGTTGCTACTGACGGCATTCATTTTTCAATTTAATACAAAGAAGATAATAGAGTTCTCATGATGTCAAAGTCAGAACAAAAGCATAGACATGACCTTGAAAATAATAATATTGGATGGAGCACTAGAATCTGGTAAAATCATTAATCTTATGTTTGAATTGTTCGTCATGAAATATCCCAAGTTTAAGCTTGTTAAAGCAACAACTCACCTAGGTCCATCTCCGAACGGGAAATATACAATTCCATCCTTAACTTTTGGATTTCCATTCGACGAATTCAAAAATCTTTCAGGTTTAAATTCCATTGGATCTTCATATATGTCTGGATCTCGATGCATTCCCATCACAGAAATGTACACAGTTGTTCCTTTCTCAACTACAAGATTTGTTGTTGGAACTGTCATGTTAGTAGCTGCTTCTCTGGATATAAATACAAGTGGATATTTCCTTAAAGTTTCATCAATGCAGCATTCAAGGTATTTTAGTTCTTGAAGGGATTCGTAAGTGATGGATTCAAGGTCATTTGATCCTAAAACTCTGTCGATTTCATCTTGAACTTTTCTTTGAATCTCTTGGTTCTTGCAGAATTCATAAAGACAGAAAGCCATTGTGGAACTTGATGTCTCAAAGCCTGCGGCAAAGAAGACAAAAGACTGTGCCATAATCTCATTCATCGTCAACTTTGTCATTTTTGGTGAGTTCCCATTTTCACTTCCGCTAATCTTATCACCATTTTGTTCCTTATCAGCTGTTATATAACCATTATTTTTCAATTGTATCATCAGATCCATAAAGTCATTTCTTTTGATGTTGTTCTTCTCGCGATACTCAACAGTTTGCTTGGACAGTGACGTGAAAAATTCTTCAACTTCCTTGCTTGAGAATCGAATCTTTAACTTTTCCATTAATTTGGGCCAAAAGAGTAGGAAGAAGTTAAGAAAAGCTCTTTTGAAGCTTCCTGTAAATATTTCGATTCCTCGTTGTCTAAAAATGTGATCCCGTTCATTAATACAGTCAATTTCAATGCCAAAAGCTACCGATGAGATTATGTTGATAGTGAATCGAGCAAGTAAGTCTTTAAAGTCAATAACATTAGTTCCATCCTCAATATTTTTAGAAATATATTTTTGTAAGACATCTCCACAATCTCTCATGACAGGAAACATGGTCTTAAGTTTGCCTGATGTGAACAACGGCGTACATTTAACACGCAATTCACGCCACCTTTGACCTTTAAGGAAGAATAAGTTTCCTGTAATTGGATCAATGTCTTCATTTATTGCCATTGGACGGTCATGGAATGATCCAAATTCCTTAATTAGAATTTGTTGAGCTATCACTGGATCATTAACAATTAAGGCTGGCTGATATGAGAAGTAAATGCCAACAACTTTTTCATGTTTATATTTTTTGTAGAAATCATAAAGGAACTCCGTAAAGCAAGTGTTAAGTTTTAACAATTTTCCACAATTTCCAATTAAAAATGTTGGATCTGCTTGTGGGAAATTTCGTCGCTTCCAATAACTGAAGAAATAATTATTCACTAGATACACAGCGATGCAAACAAGAGCAATTGCTATTGCCACTTCCATTACTTTTATATGTTTTAGTTCTTTACAAATAGAACTTAATTTATAGACTGAAGACGTAATTGAACTACAGCTATAATTTATAGCAAACGCCGGGTGATTGATAATTGACAGGTTCTCTTGACGCGATTATTTTTTTTCTCATTTATGCTCTCTGACTTCGCTCTTTTGACTCAATTTTGTGTGTTTTTTGGCAAAGTCATCAAAAAAACTCTCATTAAAAACTCATTAGATTTCCTTTATTGCTGTATATTTATATTTTAGATAGATTCGTGGATACAAAGGTAAGAATATTCTAATATGGGGATGCTAAAATTTAGTCAAATACTTTAAGCTTCAATTAGAAGCTTTATCACAAACTTAAAAAATTAATACAGCCATGCATCTAGCGAGCAGTGACCTTGAAATTGAATTTTTCCAAAGGTGTCAGCACCAAACTACTAGCATGATACCTCAGTTCTTCTTTTCCCAAGCTTTCGTCAGCAAAGCTCACATTGTATTTGCTCATCAAGAGATACAGTCCGAGAAGAGTCTGGAACTTTCCCATCCTTGCTCCGATGCACTTCCTGTTGGAGAAAAAGGTCAATTAAACTGGCATCAAGTAAGCAAGACGCTGGGTCCACGTCATTTTTTAGCGATAGTTTTGATTTTTGACCCTAATTGTAATCACATCCTTATCTTACCTCGGTCCATCCCCAAAAGGCGTATAAACCAATCCTTTCGTCACTTTTGGACTTCCAGTTGTCGAATTCAAAAATCTTTCAGGCTTAAATGTCATTGGATCTTCATAAATATCTGAATCACGTTGAATTCCCATAAGTGAAATATAAATAGCAGTTCCTTTATCAATCACTATGTCTGTATTTGGAATTTTGTAATCTTTTGTTGACTCTCTAAAATGGATCGGAATGATTGGATATTTTCTGAGAGTTTCATCAACACAGCACTCGAGATATTTCAACTGATGCAAGAGATCGTAAGTTATTTCCTTTGATTCTGTAGATTTCATGACTTGATCAATTTCTTGTTGAACTTTTCGTTGGATATTTTGATTCTTGCACAGTTCATACAAGCACAGTTGCATTGTTGAACTTGATGTTTCGAAACCTGCAGCAAAAAATACAAAAACTTGTGCTGCAATGTCCTCAATCGTAAGATTTTTCATTTCATGTCCATTCGTATCTTCAAACTTCCACTCAATTTCATCTTCATCTTTAGAATTTTTATCGACTGAGATGTAGCCTTGATTTTTCAATTCTATTAGCAGCTGCATGAAGTCATTACGATGAAAATTATTTTTTTCTCTATACTCAATTGTTTGATGCACGAGAGAGACTATAAAGTCATAAATATCTCTGTGGAATAGAGAAATATTCAGCTTGACGAAGAAAGCCGGTGTCAACAATCCAATCACATTCTTCATGCCTTGAACAATTCCTTGATCGAAAATTTTCATTCCCATTTTACGGAAAATGTTGTCAGGCTCATTGATGCAGTCATTATCAATGCCAAAGGCAACAGACGAGATAATGTTTGTTGTAAATCTAGCAAGTAGGTCACGAAACTCAAAAACATTTTTATTTTCTTGCAAATTCTTTTCGATGTAGTCTTGCAGAACCTTCCCACAGTCAGTCATGATCGAGAACATTAATTTCAACTTTCCAGATGTAAAAGTTGGTGACATTTTGACTCTCAAGTCACGCCACTTCTGCCCTTTGATAAAAAACAAGTTTTTTGTAAGTGGATCTACTTCCTCATTGATTGGAACTGGACGGTCATGAAATGAAGTGAAGTTTCTGATCATTATGTCTTGAATTAGTTCTGGATCATTTACGATTAATACTGGACGGTATGAGAGGTAAGCACCGATGAATTTATGATGTTTGTACTTGTTGTACATGGTCTGGAAGAATTCACCAAGACATTCTTTCCTTAAGAACATTGTTGATGCATCTCCAACCAGTATTTTCTGTCCTTCAGCTTGTGGAATATTTCGTCGCTTCCAATAGTTAAAGATGTAAATATTCAGCAAGTAAAATGCACCAAGCAAAAATATTATACATAGCAATATCATTGCTGTAAGACCTTAGCACTTAATAAACGCAAAGCTGAGATGCAACTGAGTCACTTGCAGCTGTAAATTGCAACTTTTTAAAATGCAAAAAAGATCAGTGCTAATGTAAATGAGAAAAAAAGCTGAGAACATTGTAGAGATATAATTGCATCCACACGCATTAGCTTTTAAATGCTGTATCATCATTAACTCGTTACATTAAGTTCAAATGAAGGAATCAAGTAACTCCCACAAGTCAGAAAACATTGTGACTGCAAATCTCTGGTTAATCACATTTTAGTGTCTTCTTTAGCTGCTGATCTTCATTGTTATCACTAGGATATTAAGGTCAAGACTTTGTTAAAGCTGTTGGTGCTTGAAACATCATCAAAGAGGCATTGTTGACATGCGTTAAGTCAATTAAAAAGCTTTGCATGCTAATCTACATGCAACTGTTAATCAAACGTTTTGAAATGCACTATTCGCGTAATTATAAGTTGCTAAACATTTTTTAAAAAATTAATTTCATTGAAGGTTTTTCTATGGGTCGTTTATAAATGATGTTTAACTTTTTAGGATGCAGAGATCTGTCGCTGATGACACTTCCATAGAAACAGTAAAAAATTTCTGACTAAAAGTTAAGGTATGGCATTTTTGCATTACTTAAATCTGTGAACGACCCTAAAGCAAAAAAAACTTGTTATGAAGTTTCAAGCTATTAATAATTAATAACAATCATTCTGTATAGAAATGTATTATTACCGGAATGTGCTTAAAAATATTTTATTAAGTATCAATTATTGTTGACAACTTTTTATCAAACTGATAACTTTCTTGTGAGTCGTAGAAGCTAATTGTTTTTATTTCGCGTAATAAGCCTCTCTTTCTCTCTGCTGATAAGAAAGTGGATTATAGATCCGAGATTCCAAATAAGGTAGGCAACAACATCATCATTTGACGACACAGTTAATCGTTATCAATTCTCCGAAAAAGGAGATTCTTTATTACTTATTAATTTTTAATCAGCTTTGTTCCTATTTGTTGTTTTGCTCAGTTTTGGTGTTAAGCTTAACATCTATCAGGTCATTAACTTATGATACTTAACATTCCATACAAAAATCATGTTGACTTCCAGTTCTGATGTTAATTATTCAGCAACTTATCCATTGATGATAGCGAATGTCAACGAGATAAAGCTTCTACATTATTCATGACTAGCTGCATATAAATGGAAGCACCAGATGTGAAAAGCTTAACGAAAAACTCACAGTTTGAAATGAACAAAGTCACAGTGATCTTATTCTGACCCTAGATCATGATTTGTCATTCAAAGTTTATTAATGGACTTTATACTTAAAACATTTTTGACATGACGCATACAAGAAAGCTCTTATAAACAAAAACAGTAGACGATAGGGAAGAAATAAGAGCTGATAACAGAATTCATTTTCTCTTCGTGCTTCAATGACTTCTTATCTTCGTTGTTATGTCGATGGAATTTTTAAAGGCATGAGATAGATTATTCACCACTCTAGCTTTGTTAATAGTCGAAGCCTTTGCAGCTGATTTATATTTAAAATATTACCACGAGCACCACTGCCTAACCTAAATAGTAATGAGATCCTTAATTTCTCAAAGATGCATTCAACGGAATTTTCTTCGAAGGAGATAGCACCAAAGAGTATGTGTGAAACTTAATCTCTTCATTTTCCATTGCTTTATCCTGAAGCTCTAAGTTGAATTTATGCAGAATCATGGCTAGTCCAAGTTTGCTTTGAAGCTTTCCAAGTCGACCTCCGATGCAGTTTCTAAATTATAGAAACACATGATTATTGAGCCTAAAGATACAAACTAGGAAAAGAAGAACTCACCTCGGTCCGTCTCCAAATGGAGCATAAACAATCCCAGTTTTAACCTTTGGATCACCAATTTGAGAATTTAAGAATCTTTCAGGTTTAAATTTCATTGGATCTTCAAAAATTTGAGGATCTCTCTGAATTCCCATTAATGGGATTAGCACTGGAGTTCCTTTCTCAATAACTGCATCAGATCCAGGAAGTTTACAGTCTCTTGTGTTAGTTCTGAAGAGGACTGGAGCTATTGGATATTTCCTTAATGTTTCATCGATGCAGCACTCAACATATTTCATTTCATGTAAGAGATCATGAGTTATGCATTCAGAACCTGCAGATTTTAAGACTCTGTCAATTTCTTCTTGAGCTTTTCGCTGTGCTTCTTTATTTCGACTTAATTCGAATAGACAGAATGACATTGTGGAGCTTGAAGTCTCAAAACCTGGAATTTAAACACAATATTAAACACATCTTTTGATGCAGTCTAAGCTAAAAATACAAACCTGCACCAAAAAATATAAATACTTGAGCTGCAATGTCATCAATTGTGAGTCGGTTCCCTTTTTCACTAACTTCATCTTCCCAATCAATTTCTTCGTCAATTTTTGAATTCCTTCTCGATTCAGATACAAATCCTTTATTCTTCAGTTCAATCAGAAGTTGCATAAAGTCATTCCTGTGGATATTGTTCTTCTCACGATGCTCAACTGTCTGATTGACCAAAGAGTAAATAAAGTCACCTATTTCAGGCAGGATTGGATTAATTTTAAATCTAGTGATTAAGTCTGGTGTAAAGAATGCCATTGTCAGCACTAAAGCATTTCTTACGCTTGGTTCAAATATTTTGAGACCAATTTTGTAAAGCATATTGTTGTCATCATTAATGCAGTCATTTTCAACTCCAAGTGCAACTGATGAGATGTTGTCGATCGTTAGTCTTGCCAATAGATCTTTAAAGTCAAACACTGTAATTCCATTTTTGATATTTTTTTCTACATAGTCCACAAGAACTTGACTGCAATCTTTCAGGAATGGAAACATAACTTTGAGTCTGCCTGATGAAAATGCTGGTGACAGCTTAACTCTCAAGTTTTTCCATTTCTGACCACGAAGATTGAATAAATTACCGACTAATGGAAAGATTTCAGCAGCATCGCCTGGCGTTGGACGGTCATGGAATGTTTTAAAGTCTCTGATCATGACATCTTGTACTAATTGTGGATCATTAATGATTAGCATCGGTATGTATGACAAGTATCCACCAATAAATCGATGATGCTTATTTTTCTCATAAATATTTGAAAATACATCAGCCATAGTCTCCTTAAAGGTGAAGAGCTTTCCAATATTTCCTACTAAGAATGTTGGATCCAGTTGTGGGACATTCCGCTTCGCCCAATATGAGAAGAAATATTTATTCACCAAGTAAACTGCTGTGGCAATCAGTATTGAAATTATGACTGCATACATATTATTTCTGGATGTTGCTACTTAAATGACAATTCACGGATGACTGAAAGGTCTCAACTCAGTCAGTTCCTTAAATAAGAAACTTTTATCATCTAAGATCTGCATTTTTTGCATAGTAAGTTGGAATACTAAGCATCTGATTTATTTTTAGGTTCTTTCGTTTTTGAAGCTATTTAAAAATAAGTCTGGCGCATATCCACAGACATAAGTTGAGTCTTTATCTTATAAGCTTAAAAAATTTCACAACAAAAACAATTGAAATCTATTCAAACAGAAAAAAATTGTAATGTGCGTGTATTTATCTGCCCGTGAATTCATTGTGGTAGATTATGGTCAATCTCAACGATAACAAATGTAATTGACTGATAGACAGCACATGATAACAAAAATGAGATTACAAATTATTTGATCCAAAGTTCGTTTGTTCTATTTTTTACAGAATTTTTATTTAAAAAAATTAAGAATACACGTTTAATATCTGTTCATTAATTACAGTTTGCTTTGTAAGCTCCAGTCAGGATCCAACCAACTTCTTTTAAGCCTCAATCAACCCTGAACTAGTTTTAAGCATATTTTTTTAAGAAAACTTCATTTAGCTTCTAAGCGAAGCATTCAAAGTGAGCGATTGTAAAGAAGACAGTACTAGGGAATTTGGATGGAATGTAAGTTCACCATATTGTAAAGATTTGTCTTTTAACTCAAAGCTGAATTTCTGAAGGATCATCGCAAGTCCGAGTTTACTTTGTAATTTACCAAGACGAGCTCCGATGCAGTTTCTATGTTGCAGGAATAGAAATATTTTTGAACCTGAACATACTTGAAAATATCACAAACTCACCTTGGTCCATCTCCGAACGGAGCATACACGATTCCAGCACTAATATTTGGATTTCCAGATGACGAATTAAGGAACCGTTCAGGCTTGAATTGCAATGGATTCTCATAAATTTTCGGGTCACGTTGCATACCCATCAATGGAATAAATACTGGAGTGTCTTTCTCAATGACAACATCTGAATTAGGAACTTTGTAATCTTTTGTGGAGATTCTGAAAAGTACAGGTACAATTGGATATTTTCTTAGAGTTTCATCGACACAGCAATCGAGGTATTTCATATCATTTATAAGGTCATAAGTAATTCCTTCAGGTCCAGCAGTTTTCATGACTCTATCAATTTCTTCTTGGACTTTACGTTGGACATCCTGATTTCTAGCTAATTCAAATAGACAGAAAGACATTGTAGAACTTGAAGTCTCGAAACCAGCACCAAAGAAAATGAAAGCTTGTGCAGCCAATTCATCAATTGTAAGCTTTGTAATCTTTCCATCTCCATTCGCTTCCTCTTTCCATTCAACCTCATCTTCATCCTTCTTGTCTGCAGTTACATATCCCTTATTCTTAAGCTCAATAAGCAGTTGCATAAAGTCATTACGATGAACGCTGTTCTTCTCACGATACTCGACAGTCTGATTGACCAAAGAGTACACAAAAGCTGATAAATCTGCTTCGAATGGATCAATTTTTAATTTTGTGAATAAATCAGGAGTAAAGAATGCCAATGTGTTAATAATTCCATTCCTAAAGCTTGGTTCGAACATCTTAAGACCCATTTTACGGAAAATATTGTCAGGTTCATTGATGCAGTCATTCTCAACTCCAAAAGCAACAGACGAAATGTTATTAATTGTCAATCTAGCCAATAAATCTTTACAGTCAAATGTGTTATTTCCATTCTTGATATTCTTTTCTGTATAGTCTTGGAGTACTTTGCAGCAATCTCTCATAATTGGAAACATGGCCTTGAGCTTGCCAGATGTGAACGTAGGCGACAATTTGATTCTAATGTCTCTCCATTTTTGACCTCTTAAATTAAACAAATTGCCAACAAGTGGAAAGTTTTCAGCAGCATCGCCTGGTGTTGGACGATCATGGAATGTTGTAAAGTCCCTAATCATGACATCTTGGAATAGGACCGGGTCGTGGACAATAAACATTGGCTTATACAGTAAATATCCTCCAAGGAAGCGCTTGTTCTTATGTTTTTCGTAAATATCGTTGAAGACATCGCCCATTGAGGCTTTAAGTGTGAAGAGCCTTCCAATATTCCCGACCAAAAATGTCGGATCCACTTGAAAGACATTTCGTTTTGTCCAATATGAGAAGAAATATTTATTAACCAAATAAATAATCGTGGCAATAAAGCCTATGATGATGTACAGGTTCATTTTAGAACGTGTGGATGGAACAACAATTCGCGAAACACTGAATTGAATTCTCTCCGCTCATCATATTTATAAAGCTTTGTTATTTAATTGTGAGAATCAAAAATATAATTTTCTATGTAGACAAGAGCTTACCAATGAATTATTCTCTTTTTATGGAATCTACTTGAATGGTTAGATATTAAAGATCATCTTAAAGATGATAAGAATTTTTTAAAGGTTCTTGGTTTAGGTTTCCTCACAATGTTGCAATATTTCTCATATACTTGTAATAAAAGTTTGTAAAGTACCTGAATGATCATTAAAAGCTCATTGCATCCAAAAACTTTCGCAAACATTCCTAATTCAAAAAATTTTATAACGGTATATACTTTTGGCTTGACTACCGAATATTCAACACTTAAACAAGTTCCTCAAGATTATATCAATTTTTGCATTATTTGCAGACATTCTTTATTAATCTAGTTTTGATTGACGTCATTTTAAAACGAACTTTGAGATAATAATCTTCGGAAGTCAACCTAGCGTAGTAACAGGGATTATTATTTTTGGCATGTGTCATAAATCGCGAACATTTTATCTCATAAATGATTATTTTTGTAAAAATAACAAATTCACGTGAGAATGATTAATTTTCAAAGCTTTATAACTTTGAACCGTTAAATTTATTTTCAAAAATCGATTCCGAAAGCTTAGAATTTCTCTGAGAGTATCAAGCACTTAATGATCAATCTCAAGATAAAATCAAAAGAGAATTATTGCATCGCTGCATCGTGGATTTTCGGACCTACATGAAATTTGCAGGAATTCTCTAAAAAAGACAAGAATGTAGCGATAAGTTATCATCAACACGCGAAAATTATTAATGCAGTCGCTGAGCGAAACAAAAATAGAAGTTTATTAAATAAGCTGAGCGGAGAGAATGAAAATCAGTATTTTGGGAGTTGCCGTTGTGTACACACGTGCCTTAAAAATGAATGTGTTTATACTCATAAGCTTCATTGCCACCATCATTTATTTGGCTAATAAATATTTTTTGTCATATTGGTCAAGAAGAAATGTTTATCAAGTGGAACCGGCATTTTTAGTCGGAAATATAGGAAAATTACTGACAGTTAAGGCACATATGGCTGATATTTTTAGTGACATTTACTTCAAGCATAAGAATAAAAAGTTTCTAGGAGCATATTTGTCATACAAGCCATTATTAGTTGTCAACGACCCCGTCTTGTACCAAGATGTCATGATCAGAGACTTTACAATATTCCATGATCGTCCAACACCTGGTGAATTAGCTGAAACTCATCCACTTGTTGGAAATTTGGTTAATCTTAGAGGTCAAAAATGGAAGAATATTAGAACTAAATTATCGCCCACATTCACTTCTGGCAAGCTCAAAGCTATGTTTCCAATTATGAGAGACTGCTGTATTGTTCTACAAGACTATATGGAGACCAATATTAAGAATGAAAATACAGTCTTTGACTTAAAAGATTTATTGGCAAGAATGACAATCAATATCATCTCATCTGTTGGATTTGGAGTTGAGAATGACTGCATTAATGAACCTGATAATGATTTCCGTAAAATGGGATTGAAGCTGTTTGAGCCAAGCTTAAGAAATGGACTAGTCAATGCTATGGTGTTCTTTACGCCAGATTTAATTACAAAATTCAAGATTAATCCATTCCCAACAGATGTAACAGAATTTATGTTCTCAGTCGTCAATCAGACTGTCGAGTACCGCGAAAAGAACAATTATCATCGCAATGACTTTATGCAGCTATTAATAGAACTTAAAAATAAAGGTTACGTAACTGCCGACAAGAATGATGAACATGAAATTGAGTGGAAGATGGAAAATAAAGACACAAAGTTCACAATGGATGAATTAACTGCACAGGCTTTCGTATTTTTCGGTGCTGGTTTTGAGACTTCAAGTTCAACAATGTCATTCTGTATGTTTGAATTAGCCAGGAATAAGGATATTCAACAGAAAGTGCAAGAAGAAATTGATAGAGTCATGAAAGCTGCTGGACCTAATGGACTTACTTATGACCTTATTTCCGAAATGAAATACCTCGACTGCTGTATCGATGAGACTCTAAGAAAATATCCAATTATACCAGTGATTATGAGACTTTCTACAAAGGATTATAAATTTACAGGCTCAGATGTTGTTATTGAGAAGAACACTCCAGTCTTTATTCCAATAATAGGCATGCAACGTGATCCAGAAATTTATGAAAATCCAATGCAATTTAAACCTGAAAGATTCTTGAATTCATCAACTGGAAATCCAAATATTAGTGCTGGAATCGTTTATACTCCATTTGGAGATGGACCTAGGCAAGGCTTATTACTTTCCTTATCATACTGAGGTTTAAAAATTTTAAATTATTCAAATTTAGGAACTGCATCGGAGGTCGTCTTGGAAAGCTTCAAACTAAACTTGGACTTGCCATGATTCTTCAGAAATTCAACTTTGAGCTAAGTGATAAATCTTTAGAGTATGGTGAACTGACATTCCATCCAAATTCCTTCGTGTTATCGCCTATGCAGTCATTAATGTACAAGGTTTCAGCGAGGAACTAAATGGTGGATGATTATTTACCGGTTAATACCGCAGTATGATAATAAAGAAGGAACGCCACTATAATTGGCTAGTACAAGCAACATGCTGGTTCCTAGAATGATGTTATGGAACTCTGAACATTTATATATTTTGAAAACATTGACATCTTATGTAAAACTTTAGTTCTAATTCTGAAAATAAAGTAATTGTGTTTAATGTTGACCAAGTACACGAAGAACTGATTAATTACAATGACTACATGGTCGAGCAATTACGACGTGTTGGTGATGGTGAAATAGGTAGACCAGTATTTTTAGACGATCCAGATTAGATTAAAAGAAACGAAAAACTTTACCAAAAAATAAGTTTCTATGCTGTTGAGTCCGATAAAATTTCAGTCAACAGATCAATCCCTGACCTACGATCAGCTGAATGTCGTCAACAAAAATATTCAAATAAATTGCCAAGCACGTGTATTATCATAATTTTTCATAATGAGGTGCTTTCTGTGCTTAAACGTACGATACTTTACAGTGTTTGGAATCAATCGCAGTCAAGTCAATGAATGGTGCAAGCACTGAGATTAAGTTCTTAATCGATCTAATCTTCATAATGCAATATTTATTTATTCGATTTTTGATGTCATCAAATTTGTCAACAAACAATACACGTGCGATTTAAATTTTAAAAATACGGTAAGCATTTCTTAGTCGCGTGTTCGAAAATTATCATAAAATTATTCGTGTGATCTCCCCTTTGGTTAATGCTTAACATATACATATATTTTCTGTCTATCACTTTAGTATTTCATCATTAGTCATTCAGTAAACATTCGAAAACAGCTGATTGACCATTCAAAGCTATATAATAATGCAATAAGTGAAGAAAAAAAAAAAACTGAAGAAATCTTTAAAAATTGTGAAATATTTATATTGACTCATTAATCATATTTGGAATATTGTAGATAACAAAATGCACGAGACATTTTTGGAATAGAACTCAAACAAGACGTTCATTAATTCTGAAAAGAAGAAGTGAAAATTCGAGAAGTTGGAAAGTTTATCAGTTCACAAAACGAACAAAATATTTTACTCAATTTTGTTATTATCAAGCTAGCTGTAACGCAATTAAACTTTAATATAAAATGGCATCCAAAGAATCAAATGTTGATGAAAATGTGGATTCAGGAAAATTATTAAAGCACTGGTTCTACGAGCACTTGATAGATGGTGAGTAAAAATAAGTTTTTAATGTACCTTTTTAAGTCACAATATCCAACCGTATAGACTTCGAGCTCTGGACTATTGAGATTAAGTGATTTTAAAGGGCACTAATGGAAAATGGTAGAAAGAAAAGCTGAAGCTATCATATCCAATTTGCTTAAATTCACACGATTATTAATTAAACAGGCAAAACACGTTGGACCCCATTCAACTTTATTGATTCAAAAGCTATTGAAGAAGCCTTTTTGAGTGGAAAGGAACAGCAAATCGCAACTGATGGTGGTCGCTTTGAAGTAAATATAGTTGAAAGAACACGACAACCTGTATATTGGACGGCAGAATCGACTTCAGTCAGAAGATGTTCATGGTTTTATAAAATGGATTCACGTTGGATTCCTTACGAAGAAGAAATTTCTGAGCAGTTGGAGATTGGATATCAAGAAGCTCTAATTACTAAAGAATGGCATCGAAGAATCGATTTGCCAAACAGCGAGCAAGTTGTGTTTCATGATTCAAATGTAATGGTTCATTTTCAGCAACAGTCTAATTCAGACTCTTGGGGATCACCGACCAATTCTATTACAAAACCAAGAGTTGTCAAAAGAGGTATCGATGATTTTCATATTGATGAAGGAGATAGTGATCAAATTGATCATTTACTATTCATGGTTCACGGCATTGGAAGTGTTTGTGATTTAAAATTCCGAACAGTTGAACAAGTTGTTGATGAATTTCGTATGATTGCACAGCAATTAGTACAGGCACATTATAGAACAGCTTATGATGAAGGCAAAATAGGACGAGTTGAAGTTTTACCAGTAAGTTGGTATAAAGCATTACATTCTGACGATTCTGGAATTGATCAAAAGTTAAAGTCAATAACTTTAGATTCTATACCACGATTGAGAAATTTCACAAATGAAACTTTATTGGATGTCCTCTTCTATACATCTCCAGTTTTTTCTCAAGGAATCGTTGATACAGTCGCTAATGCACTGAATAAAAAGTACTCAATGTTCTTAAAAAGAAATAAGAATTTCAAAGGTCGAGTTTCTCTTGCTGGACATTCTCTAGGATCACTTATATTATTTGATCTATTATGTCATCAAAAGCCAACTGAATTGAATGGAGAAAATTTAGAGAATCCTGACGAACTCGGAACTCCATCGAGACTGAAAAAAATTTCACTACATCAGCCAATAACGCGAACACATTCAAAAGCCATTGATTATAACTTTGGGTTATCAGGAACAGGTCAGCCATTGATGACATATAAACAATTAATTTTTGAGCCTAAGCACTTCTTTGCACTTGGATCGCCAATCGGAATGTAAGTAGATATCTATGAAGAGGAATCGATTAACCATTCTTTGTTTAATGGATTTACGAAAAAGTGTTCAAAGTTTATTTGAGTCGCGACCTTTGAACACATTACTCAAAAATTAAATAAATAAAATAAATTTTTATTTTTTCAGGTTCGTAACAATCAGAGGCATTGATAAACTGGGACTTGATTTCAGCCTACCAACATGTGATCATTTCTTTAACATTTTTCATCCATTTGATCCCGTCGCATATCGAATTGAGGCTCTTGTTAATCCAAGTTTGGCAAGTGTATCACCAGTTTTAATTCCACATCATAAAGGACGAAAGCGCATGCATCTTGAATTAAAAGAAACATTTCAACAAGTTTCTGCGGACTTAAAAACGAAATTAATGTCTTCTGTAAAGAATGTAACGGAAACGGTTTGTGCTCTAAATCCATTGAACAAAAATATAAATCAAAAGGCAATTGAAAAGGAAGTTGATCAAGTTTTGAATAAGCAGTTGAGCTCAGAAACGGGTGTCGAGAAAGATGAATCTCCAAAAGAATCACCTTCTACAGAAAAACTCTTTAATATGGGTTTATTGAATCAAGGAAGGCGATTTGATTATGTCTTACAAGAAGCTCCACTTGAATTTTTCAATGAATACTTATTTGCACTTGCTTCACATGTAGTTTATTGGGTAAATTTTGTATGCCTTTTAAAAAATTATAATAAACTTGCTAACATCCATTTATGCTTTGTAGGATTCGGCAGATACAATCTTATTCATTGTAAAGGAGATGTATAGTTCAATGGGAATCGAGGCTGATAAAGAAATTCCACAGCACACATTGAAATTTGAAAGACCTTCATCATCAACAGATTTAGTTGTACCTTCTTCTTCAGACTCTTTAAGAGGATAACTATGGGATAAATTTTCAAATTTTAATGTATTGAAGCTCGCGTTTCGAATATATTTCTGCTATCTATGCAAAATGAAAGCTTTAAAGAACTCTCCTGAAAGCGACTAAACATTCTAAGAACATCAGATATCAAACGACAGGTTGTGCATGACTTTGTTTGAACCAAAAACAAAATATCATCTTATTCCATAAATTATTGCTTGTAATTATATACATTTGTTGTGAATTTTGTGTGATTCATCATTTATTTAAATTTGAAATAAATATTTACTTCCAATTAAAATTTTATAAAATTAACGCTGACGGAGATGGACAAAAAGTAATTCAGCATTTATGATGGGTCGTTCACTAATGACGTTCGAAATTAACGGTCGTTTTTCAAAAAAGAGCAATGGATTTTTTGCTGACCCCCCCCCCCCCTGGACGTCATAAATGAACGGCCCCTAATTTGATGAGAGTAATCTATTGACGGAACAAAATTATCAAAAACTTTAACTCCAAGCTTATAAAATTCGTCGAGCTAAACATTTCTCTCAGTTCTCAAAAACAAGGGTGCGCAACTGATGAAATGATCAAAAATTTTCAAAACTAGTGTATCGGGTAGAAACCCAATGCGGATATATTCACACCGTACCATCAAAAGTCTTATGGATAGACCAAGATTTGCTCAGCATAAGTTTGAAGGGTGGGAGTGAAGTACGGTTGAGACCCATATCGACACAGTTCAAAAGTTATACCTAATTTATGTTATAATTATGTCAGCTACAAAAACACTTAGTTTGAAGTTTGTCACCCTCGGGAACACTATGAACCAGTATAGCTGATTTTGGTCCAAATCTCAGCCATAGTTCACACATATTTGAACCACATTTTCTCGTAAATGTTAAAATATTATTCAAAAGTAATTAATCCTGAATTATGTCGCTATTTTGTCAAGTGTTTTAAGATAAAGAATTTGTTTTTTGGTTTCCACAGTGAAGAGTATGAACAAAATTCAGATGGGGTAGTCGAAATTTTAGATTTCGATTTTTTTTAACCTATGCATTACAAAAAGTAATATTGGTATGTGATTTATGTCAGAATTATGTCAATTCAAATAAAACATCCAAAAAATTTTTTTGAGCAAAGAACCAAGTAGGAAATACATTTTCAATTTTTGACTAAGGGCGACCCTAGTCAAAATCAATTTTGTCAATTTTTTAAACGAGGGGTTATCCAAATGGATTGAAACTTTGCATAAATATTCTAGTGCTTAAAACAAATACAAATAAAACATTTTAAAAATTTTTTGAGCAAAGAATCAAGTAGGAAATACATTTTCAATTTTTGACTAAGGGCGACCCTAGTCAAAATCAATTTTGTCAATTTTTTAAACGAGGGGTTATCCAAATGGATTGAAACTTTGCATAAATATTCTAGTGCTTAAAACAAATACAAATAAAACATTTTAAAAATTTTTTGAGCAAAGAATCAAGTAGGAAATACATTTTCAATTTTTGACTAAGGGCGACCCTAGTCAGAATCAATTTTGTCACTTTTTTCTTTGAGGGTTTATCCAAATGGTCCAGTCAAAATCTAGTTTTTCACTTTTTTCTTCGAGGATATATCCAAATACAGTAAAATTTTGTATGAGCATTCTAATCTTTAGATCACACATTTCTGAATTAATAAAAATCATTTTTTTGGACAAAATTTTAAGTCACGTTGTTTTTATATGTAGAACCAAATTTATAAAATTTGGGTCTGACGACATATAGGATACATTTCTTGCTTTAGATATTTAAAACTGTTTTGTATAAATGTTAGTATACTCACACAAAGTTTCACTGTAATTGGATAAACCTTCGAAGAAAAAAAGTAAAAAACTAGATTTTGACTAGACCTGTCCCAAGTTCATAATTGAAAATGTATTTCCTTCTTGGTTCTTTGCTCAAAAAAATTTTAGGATGTTTTATTTGTATTTGTTTTAAGCACTAGAATATTTATGCAAAGTTTCAATCCATTTGGATAAACACTCGAAGAAAAAAGTGACAAAATTGATTTTGACTAGGGTCGCCCCTAGTCCAAAATTGAAAATGTATTTCCTACTTGGTTCTTTGCTCAAAAAAATTTTTTTCACCCAAAGTTTAATTTAAAATAAAAAAAATCACAGTCAACTTTTGTTTTAAAAAATTCGTAAGAAAGGAAAGTTTTTTGCTTTTTCTGAAGCAACGGCTGTTTCTACCTTGCCCAAAAACAATACAGCTCTTCTATAGAGCAGCACGTATCAAATGTAAAAAACTAGAAGTCTCTACGATGTTTCGTTATTGAGATTTCTTGCTGATTAACTTGCTTGCTTGTTTGCTTACAGAAAGCGTATTTTGCGATTTTCTCAGCAATGCCACAACCAATTTGAAATCTGTTTTTTGAAAATGATGTAAAATTTCAGGCACAAACTTTTCTTCTGTGACCTTTTATAACCAATTTTGCTTTGTTTTCTCACAAAATGCGAAAAACTGATTTTTCAATCTGAACAAAAGCAATAGATTCACACTTGAAAACGGTGAAAAAAATTAAGACAAAATTTCGAAAACACTTAAAAACTCTGGGGCCGTTCACTTATGACGTCCAGGGGGGGGGGGGGGGGGGTTAACAAAAAAAGAACAATACCCTGTTTTTACGTTATAAGCCACTACCATTTACTAAGCCAGTGGCTTATTAAAAGATTTTGACCCTTTAAACTTTTATGTCTCCTTTAATAAGCCACTACCCTTTAATAAGCCAGTGGCTTAATAACGGATGACTGTAATACACAATAAACAAATAAAAAAATTTCTGATTCAATCATTCAAAAATGTCTCAAAAGAAACGAAAGACATATTCAGTTAGTTTTAAGCTATCAGCAGTTGAATTTGCAGAAACGAACTCAAATATAAAGGCTGCAGAACACTTTGAAGTCAACATTAGTCAAATTCTTCGCTGGAAATCGACAAAAGATTCAATGCTATTGGTTCAGAACAAGAACAAAAAATGTGTTTTCAAATTTAGACCTGCCAAATGGCCAGCATTAGAAGCACACTTGAAGTCGTGGCTAGTGGAAAAACGAAAGGAAGGCCATTGTGTATCAGCTAGAGCAATATTGAGAGAGGCACGCTTACATGCGCTAAGAATGGAAATCCCTGATTTTAAGGGTTCAGCTAGCTGGATTTGTCGATTCATGAAGCGCAACAAGTTAACGAAACGTGCAGTTACTTCAGTCGGCCAACATTTACCTGATGACTGGGAGAATAAAATGTCAGACTTCATTGAATATGTCAATAACCATAAGGATGGTTACGATTTGGATCACATAGCTAACATGGATGAAGTTCCCGTTTGTTTTGATTTACCATCAAAGTTCACAATTGATCAAATAGGATCATCAGATATCCGCGTCACTACAACAGGAGCTGAAAAAGCTCGTTTTACAGTCGTTCTTTGTGTTACAGCAAGCTGCAAGAAACTTCCAGCATATGTAATTTTCAAGCGCAAAACGTTACCAAAAGGCAAATTTCCACAAAATATTATTGTATCAGCAAATGAAACTAGCTCAATGACAGCAGCAGAAACGGTTTTATGGCAGAACAAAGTATGGATAAAACGACCCAACTCATTATTTGATCGCCGCTCGTTATTAATGCTTGATTCCGCACCTGGTCACAAAACAGCTGAAGTTAAGGCCAAATTTCGTGAAAATGGAACTACTCTAGCTATGATTCCAGGTGGTTTGACAAAAAAACTGCAAGTACTTGACATAAGTGTTAACAAGTCATTCAAAAGTAGACTACGCAACAAATGGGAACAATGGATGATTAATGGCTTTAAAGAATATACGAAATCAGGTCGTATTAAGCGTGCATCGTATGAAGAAATTTGTAAGTGGATTTCCCAATCATGGGAAGAAGTTCCTGATTCTGCCATAAAAAATGGATTTGTTAAAACTACAATTAATTTTTATTGCAATGAAAATAATGTCATAGAAAATGAAGAGGACTGGGAAGTTGAATATTTGCTCGACGATGAAGATGATATCCAAGAAAAATTAATGGATATTTTTTTGGACGAGGAAAATTTTGGAAGTGATTTAGAAGAAGATTATGAATAAATAAATTCCCTTTAACAAGCCACTACTCGTTATTAAGCCACTACTCGTTATTAAGCCTTTTTTTGAAAATTTTTATACTTTTTTTCTCGAATAAGCCACTGGCTTATAACGTAAAAACAGGGTAGTGATTCCTGGAAATCCATTGTTCTTTTTTGAAAAATGACCGTTAATTTCGGACGTCATAAGAGAACGACCCCGTTGAGACTTCCTTCTGGTTTTATTGCTGGCTACTGTATGTGACTTTAAGATCTTAACGCTTTAGAATCATTCAAAATTGATGTGATCTAAAAAGTAAACTTAAATCTCTTCCTATATCTGTTGTAATGATCAATGAATATTCATCAACATGATATTTATTAATCAATAAATTAAATTCATTCACACCATACCAAAACATGATACATACAGCCTTTAAAATCACCAAAAATAAATCACACAAAAATCTTTACATTTTTTTGAGCCACAAACCTTCCTCATTTGCATCTTTATTGATTCATTTTCTTGAGAGACAATTTCAGTGTTAATATGTCTTTGGTCGAAAGAGCACATAAATGGATATCCAGTGAAGAAATAAAAATGATCAAGCATTCAAAAAAAAGATTAAAAATTTATTCGATTTCCGCAATTTTAATTGTGTTCATTTTTACTGTGTATAGTTTTAGTTCCAATTCTGATAATAAAGTGATTGTGTTAAAAATTGACCAAGCACAGGAAGAACTGATTGATTACAATGACTATAAGTACATGGTCGAGCAATTACGACGTGTTGGTGATGGTGAAATAGGTAGACCAGTATTTTTAGAAGATCCAAACGAGATTAAAAGAAACGAAGAACTTTACCAAAAAACAGGTTTCTATGCCGTTGTGTCCGATAAAATTTCAGTCAACAGATCAATCCCTGACCTACGATCAGCTGAATGTCGTCAACAAAAATATTCAAATAAATTGCCAAGCACGTCTTTTATCATCATTTTTCATAATGAGGTGCTTTCTGTGCTTAAACGTACGCTACACAGTGTTTGGAATCGATCGCCGTCAAGTCTATTACATGAAATAATCCTCGTGAATGATGCAAGCACTGAAATTGAGCTTTATGATGAGCTACAAAAGTATGTGGATGTGAATTTTGGCAAAAAGGTCAAAATTATAAATTTACCAGAACGAAAGGGATTAATAAGGACAAGAATGGAAGGTGCTAGAGCAGCAACTGGAGAAATTTTATTATTTTTTGATTCTCACATGGAAGTTGGCTATAACTTTTTACCTCCACTTCTTGCTCCAATCAAGGAAAATCGAAGAATATCTACAGTTCCAGTTCTTGATGACTTTGATGCCAAAAATTTTGCATATTACGGATTAAATCCAACAAGAGGTGTGATTGACTGGACTTGGATATTCCATGAAATAAGTCAGGAATTAAAAGATCCAATAAAGCCATTTCCAACTCCAATCATGCTTGGATGTGCTTTTGCAATTGATCGAAAGTTTTTTATTGAAGAACTAGGTGGATATGATGAGCAACTAGACATTTGGAATGGCGAAAATTATGAATTAAGCTTTAAACTGCATTTATGTGCTGATGGATTGTTTGAAGTTCCATGCAGTCGTGTAGCACACACATTTAGAGACATTAATCCTTCAAGAAGCTGGAAGTATGATTATGTTGCTAGAAATTTCAAAAGAGTCGCAGAAGTATGGCTAGATGAGTACAAAGAGATTCTTTACAATCGTGAACCTCAAAAGTTTGAGAATGTAGATCCAGGAGACTTAACATTACAAAAGAAAATCAGAAAAGATCTAAACTGCAAGCCATTTAAATATTTCCTTGATGTTGTGGCTCCAGACATGGCTGCAAGATATCCACCATTAAGACAAGTTCCAGTATTTGCATCAGGAACGATTAGATCAGTCGCTAATGACTCAAACTTATGTCTTTATGGAGAAAATGTTCCTTTCATTGAATTGGAACTAAATGAATGCTATCATAACTTAATTGAACCATTTTCACAGCAATATTGGCTATTAACATTCTACAAGCAACTAGCATTAAGGAACACTGAGTTGTGTATGGATACAGCAGGAAAAAGTATGTTTGATTGTCATTATGAAGGTGGAAATCAGTTGTTTAATTATGATAGAGCATCAATGCAGATATTTAATAAAGGTAAAGACAAAACTGTGTGCCTGACTGCAGACCATGAGATTAAAAGGATTAGTTTTGAGAATTGTGATGAAGCTAATGATTATCAAAGGTGGGAATTTGGTTATGTCAATGGAACAGCTATGCAGCGTTGGGATGAGATTAATGATTTTGGGAATATGTAGACTTAGTGATCTAATTTTAAGAAGCTTTAAAATTTTGAAAATAAAATGTAAATTTTCATCACCAAAATTAGCATTGAACTTTTCCTTTATTCAAAAATTCATTCAATTTCAAAACTTTTTGGCATCAACATTTTCAAAATTAAAAGTACCAAAAAATGCCTTTAAACCAGCCATCAACATCATATCAAGATGAATTTACATGGCCTGTAAACATGCCAGTCAAAATTTTCAACACTGATTACAGCTGTCCACAAGTAATTCCAAAGAAAATTGGATTTGAGGCAACAAAAGAATTTGCTTCGAGGAACATTTGCACGCCAAAAATAGAAAAGAAGGCTGAAAAGTCACCGCAATTGGTGTTTATCAACATCTGTGAAGCAAAGGAAGTAAATTTTCAAAATATCTCATGTGGAAGTAGTCAAAGTGGCAACAAGCCACAGAACAAATCCTTCAAACTTTGTTCTGACAATCTAAACTTCAACATCAATGCACGTCCAAAGATATCAGTCAATCCAAACTGTAATATGAGTCAATTTTCTTGTGAGAAGCGCAACAGCAATTCAGACCTTACAATTCTTATTAATCATGTCAATAAAACTAAGAACATTGTCAACTGTAAATGTCCAAAAGCTAAACCACTTCAAAATCATCAACCAAGGCCCAAGAACACTCAAGTTCCAAGAATCAATCATTGCAATACCCAGAACCAACTTCCCAGAACTCAAGTTCTCAGTACTCAACTTCCCAGAACTAATCATTGCAATACTCAGAACCAAATTTCAAAACCGAAGCTCAAACAAGCACCAGATGCAAAGAAACACGAAATCAAAGTCTGTCCAAACTACAAAGAATTGCTTGAAAAGAAGCAACCACCAGCAAATAAACTTGATGTCAAAATGGAGCCTTGTGAAGCTTTTCCTGAAGATCATTGGAATACAACATATCAAGAGCAATTCGGATTTGTGGAATATTGACACTTGTTGCTGTTGATGGTAATAAAGATTATTAAATTTTTCAACTGATGATTCTTTGATTTTACTGTTGTTTATAGTAAATTAGGGTTTTATAAATCTGAATAATAGCCAGCAAAGTCAGCATTCAACTGCTTTCCTGTCAATTGCATCATTCTTTAGTTCCCCAAAAGAAAACTCGAATCATTTGTTTTTGTTTATCAAAATTCGTATAATTTGTTTCGAACCGAGAAGACAAATTCATTGAAACTGGGATAATAAGTTCAAATATTTTTTAACCGTTACAATTTAGACCAGTTTTGATCGTGAGAATTTCTTATTGCAACTTAATTCCTTTTGTGCATGACTAAATGTGCAGTCATTTAACATCTAGATCTACTAAAATTTTCAATTCATGTCTGAGAATCTATCCATCAGCCTCTATTCATAATATTCACCGAAAAAAATCAAATAATTCAGTAGTTTAAAAATTGTGCAAGTTTGCGTTTGTCTCGTCTGATTTCTTGACTTGATTGATGAGCATATTTCATCTATCTCCTCATCTTTTATGGATGTAAACACCAAAGCATTATGCTCAAAAAAGCGGAGATAATTTTCGGTTGAAAATTGCTTTCAAGGTTCTAGGCACTTGGCAATTTAATCGTATGTCTACATATTTAATTAAATCTATCAGGGAAATCAAACTGATCATTATCTGATGAGTCACAATTTAAGTTGTTCCTCAATTTTTTACATTAAACAAACATTAGCAGATTATATTGGAATTTTTAAGTACTAAGCTAGCAATAATTTTTCATTAAAACGTGTGAAATTTGAGAAATTTTTAAAAAGCCACTAATAAGTAATGTTCAAGCTTTATTGCTTGCTAATTGATCTAATTTGTCTGTAATGTATTCCAGTGATTTTTTCAACGTTTAAATGCAAAATTATGGCTTCCGGTCATTCGAGTCGATGTGCTGTGTGTGCGAATAGAAAGAGAAGCATTAACATGTCAGCACAATCGAAGCTATAGACTAAGGTTTTGTTGCTTTATTGATGATAAAATCAATTTTGTAGAATTTACTTGGGTAAGGCAGAATGATGTGGAAGGTATTGAGTCGGATTGATGTTGGACAACTTCAGATCATCAATACTTATTACTTACATACTGTAACCATGTTCCTATGTGGAGCTTAGGTTACTATAAAAGGTTTTGCATCTTAGTCTGTTGCTGGATTTCTCTTTGGCAATCAATACTTCTAGAAAGTCATAAAATATTAGCAAAAAATTATTAAATTCACACTGAAAACCCTTTACAGCACATCATAAATTCTCGATAATCATCAATATCCTGTAGATATTACAGCCATAATCAACAATTCCCATAAAAATAAACAAGAATTTCCCTTAACAATTTTGATATCAAGAATTAAATCATAAATCATGACTTGAGGATGAGCCATAAGAAAGTTTCAAACTTTTAATTATCTCCAATTAAGGAATAAAACATTTTATTACCAAAGTCATTAAATTGCTGTTAAGTCTCGACGCTGAGGTGGTAATTTCTTTTATTCGTGATAAATTCAATTGAACAATTCCAGTTGCCAGACTTAAAATGCAAATAGTGATGGTGACTTATTGATGAACATTGTGTTTGAGATTCCACGATTCTTTCATCTTGCTGGCTGCTAGCTACGCTAGGGCAATTTTGTAGGTATAGCTTGGATCAAAGTTTTGAAGTTACAGGATCGTCAATCATAGCTTAAAAAGCACTGGCCTTAACCAATGCTCTAATAGCTATAATAGATCATGACAAGTTACTGACAACTGGATTCAACTTACTCGAGAATCAAACAATATCTAGACATCGTGAATCCTTGCTTTAATGATACCCAAAGCAAGTTTACAGCTCATAATCCATCAAACCTGCTCAAACAATTACTTAATCTCTCGTTCCATAAAAAAGAAAGTAAAAGTTCCTTCCTATCAATTTGCAAAACAAAAAAGTTTCCCCGCAAATAATCACGAACCAAGAACGCTGTGTGCCTTTTTTTGAAGACTCGTGTCGAGTCTAGACATTAGACAATTAGATAGAATTACATCACAAGTGATTGTTACTTTCATTTATTCAAATTAATTTTCTTCACAGCATCCTCGTCATCACGAATCACTGTCAAAAGCATTAAAAGTTATTACGCACTCATAATGCTTTGACATCAATATGTTATTGACATTAGCATGCATCATTAAAACTAATGTAATATTCTCGTTTATCAATGTTCCGACCACCGATGCATTTCAAGCTATTTATCATGCAGATTTACTCAATTTCATCACAGCGTGAATGATTTATGAAACGATAGCTGCTTTTTGTGTCTCTTTAGTGTCAATGGACGGTGAATTTTTTTTTTGTTGTTTCCAGGAAATGAGTGGGAACAGTGGTGCAATTGGAGGTTTTTTGGCGCCAAAAATTAATTTTTTGGTTAATACTGCATCTAGCTTGTTCTAGCTCCATATCCTTATTGTATGGACTGTCAAAACTTTGTTGTAAGTAAGATTGGAACCAAATGAAGCTCAGGATACCGGAAGTTTATCAACTATGCGCTCAAATTTAAATAAATCGACTACTCATGACTATAGCGACTCCAACCTTATTCATAAATCCCTTACTACGCCTGTGAGTGGTTAGCATTTAAATTGTCATGCTTTGTATAATCAAAACAAGCAATCTTAACATTAAATTTGCTATACGAGCCATATTCTTCATGTTCTCATTAAACAATAAAAGCAGAATAGCTTAAACAATTTTATATTCAAGGATATATTTAACCAATAGCAATATTTATCTTCGATGTGCCACTCTCGGTTTCCGCTTTTGTGATATATTCGCTCTTAATTTTATTTCATTTTATTTTACTTTTTTAATAAAAAATTATTGGAGCTCAAACTCATCATTTTAATTTATTAATAATGTGATAAAAGTTTCAGTTTCATTTTTTTTTTAATAATCACGACGAACATTAACTATGTAGCATTTTTATCATCGTAGCTTTCAGCAAACTCATTATTTTTTTTAAATAATGTTCTCGGTACAAGTTGAGATGATGTTCCGAGGCAGTTTTGGGGATCAGAAAGCTTAATTTTGGATTCTTAGTTTTCTTTTCAAAGTTCATTCGACTTTATGTCTGGAATGCTTTATTCGTTGTTTATTAAAATTTGAGATGATCAGCGACCCACTCAACTCTATGTCCAAATAACCTAAAATGTTATCACATCATCAATGAACGATCCTTATTTAATGAATTTTTATTAAAACCGGATGTTTACTTAGAACCAAGCCAAGCAAAGATATTCGCTTAATAGCATTAAGTCAACAAAACACTAATATAATCAAGAAATAATTAAAATTTTAACCTACAAAAATCATTCAAATTTTATTATTTTCCAAAATCATAGGAGCAAACCTTTTTTTATTGTTTTTTGTTTCAAAAATTTGAAATGTAAATATAAAAGTTAAGTTTATTGTTGTGCTCGTTTTTTGTGTTGTTCAACTACCAAAATCATCTTCTTGACATACTTGTAAGAGTATCTGATAAGGTAAGTTTGCTTAAATATAATCAGAGAACTTTTTGAAGGACAAAACATTCAGATTTTCGTAAAACTAGGAGTTTGTAAATGATTTGAAGATTCAGTTTTAGGAATTTAGATTCAGAAGTGCAGTTAAACTGATTGAAACTTTAGATTGTGTTAATATTGATCTAATTGGTAAGATTCTGTTGAATTTATTTTATTGCATAGGTAAGAGGTTTGTGTAAATATCTTGATTAGGTCTTGAAATTCTTAAATTATTCAATGATATTAAGCGAAATTTTGAATAAATGCAGACTAAACTGCATCGCAGAATATCCAAAAAGCAACAAAATATCAACTTAATTAGAACAACAATGTAAGTTCTCGCAATCTACTTAAGAAACTTCTTATACATTCTTAAAGAATCTAAAGCCAATAAATTTTCAACTTTATGTTCTCCATTCTACAATATATTAAGCACATTCACTAACCACCATTTGAAAGTGAAACAAAAATCTAAAATATATTACAAAACATCCACGATGAGCAATAAAAACTTTGAACAAAAACTTAATCTGCTAAAATAATTCGAAAAATATCCCAAAAATGTTATTCATAATTTATTTAATGCTGGTTAATGCGCAATTCAGTCAAAGTGAATGTTTAAAGGCATTATATACACCAAAATGCATTAATAACCAAATTGAAAATTGAAGTTTAATTTAATGACTTAATCGTTTAACCATGATGATGATTATGCATCAGCAAATTAATGAATTTTTGCATTCGTCGAGCAGTTTTAAAGTCTATCGAAAAATAATTTTTATTATTGCATAATAATAAGTGAAAGAGAGAAAGGTAGCATCATCTATCATAGGGCTGGATGCTAATTAATTCCGCTTTAATATGTAGAGTAATATCTAAAGTTTATGAAGTCAATTAAAGACTGGACAGTGCGCATTTCTTGAAGATCAAAGACAAATAAATGGTTTGAAAAAATAACGGTCAAAAAATATTTTAAAGAAATAACGACAAAAAATTGAATTCCTCGAAAAATGACAGACAGACAAACAGTTTCAAATTTTATTCTTTTTTAAAGTAAGCTAAAAAATCACATGAGCCTAAGCAAGTTGAGTGAGAAGCTTGCAATATGCATTATATTGCATGCCTCAAAAAATTATATCATTTAAGCTGTCTGTGGGAAACAAACAAAAGCCTGAACGATGCTGCAAGTAATCTAATTTTTGCTATATGGTTCAGCTATTTCTAGTACAATTTCGTGACCAATGAGAGCTGTGATCTTTCGATATCAAGCTTTAAGTTCAAAACGATTTGAACATCATCAGTGATCTTAATGATAAATTAAGTAAAACAGAAAACATGGAAATAGAGAAGAAACATCACGTCATGGATGTGAGATCATCTTATTATAGTCAATCAATCAATTAAGCAGCTGAAAAGTAAAAAAAAATTACAGATTTTATACAGCGATGTATACGACTGTTGAAACAGCATAGATTCCTCCATGCTCCTTCCTTTTCAACTCTTATTCT